AAAATCCTACAGCTACCATAGATTCTTGATACTTGGAATCTAATTAATCTAATCCAATTGATGAGAATATTAATGTTAAAAAACATCAAATTAATATTTAAATTCATCCAATTAACATGCAAAAATTTTTAATAAACATTCAAGTCGTCAAATCAACACCAATATATTATACAATTTTATTCAATTAATATTCAATTCATCAAATTAATATCAAATTACACCTATTAGCATTTAATGGTAACAATTGCTTCGAAAACTCATCCATGGCTCTAATTAACTTCGATATAATACCGAAATATTCTATTTTGGTACACAATCATAATAACCAGCCGTCAATCCTTTGGGCCAAAAAAAACCACAAAGTGTCACGTGATGAACCTGCCGGGTCATGCCAATGGATACGAGAAGCACAGTCAGCCCGTTGAAAATGGTCCCGTAATTAGCCCGTCCGACCCAACTCAAAGGTACAAGGTCCAAGCGAAGGCCCAAATGATACAAAGACGCTGCTAAGCTAAGCTAAGCTAAGCTGATTGTGAAAACTGAAAAGCCTTTGCATAGACAAAATGCAGAAAGGCCGCAAGCGAAAGCATCCTCAGCTCCCATCATCTCCGTCGACCAAATCTCCGACCAGCTCCACAAAAATTACCGGCGTTAATGACACCGCAGACGAGCCATACCCACATTACCATAGACCCACCCCAGAAGAGTGCCGAGCCGTAAGAGACGACCTATTGGCCCTCCACGGTTTTCCCCAACAATTCGCCAAGTACCGGAAAGAAAGAGAAATTCAAAAATTCTCTGATCTCAACAACTCGGATGGAAATTCGATGAAACTAGAGCCGTTGGATGCTTCCGATGCTAGTGGGTCATTGCAAAATGAAAGTGTGTTGGATGGTCTAGTGAGCACCATATTGTCGCAGAACACCACTGATGTCAACTCTCAAAGGGCTTTTGCGTCTCTTAAAGCTGCATTTCCAACTTGGGAAGATGTAAGTGTATGCTACTTTTGTTAGTCTAACGTAATGCTTTAGCTTCTTTAGTTGCATTGGCTTAAAGGGTACCGATAGATTTCGAACAGATTCTGTTCTTCTGCGTGTTTTGGACCTACATTTGTGTTTTTGTGATTTTTTTCGTTGGTTTTCTGTGATTTTTGCTTCTTGGTATCGACCAATTCGATTGAAATTGTGTTTTTTGAGTTTTCAGACCTAAATTGTAATCTTTTATAGCTATGTTATTGGTGTTATATTGCTTTGCCACAATGTTATTGATGAATCACAACAATTAGGATGTTTTTCAATCGTTCGGTTTTGCTCTAGTTTGGCGTCTTCTATATATTTGATTGTTTCTTATTGCTTTGGCTCAGCGGGTGTTGATTGTTGAGAAGAAATTGAATCTTTCCATGCCCACAACTGCTTTGAATGATTAGGTTTTAGTACAGTGAGTGCCAATAAACGTGCACAGAGCTTGGCATTTTTTTGAGCCTTGGGTTTACACTTTTCACTGATATTATTTGTATTTTTGTTTTGGATTAATGAGTGACAATAAATAGGATATTTCTGTACACTGTGCAAGATTAGGATTAGGGTTTGAACCCTTGTGTCTGCGCCTTAGCAACCCACTTTAGCAATTACCGCTAGGCCCAAGGCCACAATTATCAATGATGAATCAAGCTTGATGGCTGTCACTTGTTTCAGTGATTTTATTTTGGTTTTCATGTTATGTATATCAGTGAATGAGAAGCTTGTTATTCTAGTTTTCTAAACCTACATTCTTATGCATGATTTGTGTACGGATTAGCAACCCTTTCATTAATTTTCTTTATGTGCACCAGACGTTGATCGACTTGTACTTATCCAGCAATTAAGATTTTGTATGAGTTATTCACTCCCTTGTTCAATTTCTGGATGGGCACAATAAATTTGATCAACTTATAGCTCCCTTGCAAATTCACATATGGCTTTTCTTAATGCTGAAGGTTCTTGCTGCTGAGTCAAAGTGTATAGAGGATGCAATAAGATGTGGAGGTTTGGCCCCAACGAAGGCTTCTTGTATTAGGAATTTACTGAGTTGCTTGCTTGAGGAAAAAGGCAAATTATGCTTGGAGTACTTGCGAGACTTGTCAGTTGATGAAATCAAATCTGAGCTCTCTCATTTCAAAGGAATTGGGCCCAAAACGGTAATTGCCCATCCCTTCTACAATTGCTCCTATTTTCTGTTTGTGTAAGGATTGATAACTTGTCACTTACTAAGAAAAAAAGTGTGAAACTTTTGTTGCATTCAAACACTGAAGGGCCCTGTTTCGGTATCGGTAATTTGACATAAATGCATGAACTTCCAGCCCCATAAAAAAATATTTGGCAAGGGAAACATGGATGGTGTTACAATTATCTTCTGAGGATTTCAACGGCAAAAATGTTAGCAAAAGGAGAGTGAACACAATATACAGTTGTTATTTGTGAATCTGATCAATAATAAAACTCAGAGATAGGGAAAATCATCCTCTAGTCCAAGTTGTTGAATCTGACACTATTGCCATGTAGTAGTCCTTTTGGCTACAAAGCCCTTCAGTTGTCCAAACTGTTCCTGGCTTGCCTCCACTTTGGCTGATGGTTTCCCTGATGCAGCAGGAGCTCCAAATGTCCAAAACTCATGTTGCAGCTGTACTTGCTTAGCAACTTTTTTTTTTTTTTCCTCTTGCCTTTTAGATTGTAATATGATGGACCAAAAGTGAGCAGGAACAAGGGTTCATTATATGTGGGTTTGAAAGGGAGGTTCCAGATGAGTCTGCTGAAGGCTTTTGTTTGTTCAAACTGATGATAATTCTGCAGTGTACCCACAAAACCAGCTTGAGGAAGAGAGTTAGTGATATCAGGGATGTCTAAACTGAGAGAAAGACAAAACAATTGCAATATAAAAGAAGTTAATCACGTATTGGGTGGAGGAAACTTATAGGTTCATCACTGGTATACAGATTCTTTATCAACACCACTAACTCATTGGCTTAAACTTTCTGTCAGCAATTTGGAAAGGAGGTGTGACTTCTTGAAAAGAAAAATTGCAAACTTGATTGAACTGCACTTGTCTGACAAGCCAGAGAGGCAAAAAGATCCTGCCAGTCATTGCAGACCTGTTTTTTGGGAAGCTTTCATTGGTTCAATTAAGAATGCTAGAGGCCAAATTTTTAGGCTTTAATACGAACTTCAAATACAAATACTGCTCATTTGGTCTGTGAAGGTTCATGTATTCTTAGCTTTTTGCTCATTGGCAGTTCTCACATAGGGACTTGAATGACCAATCTATTCTTACCCTGGGCCTTCCAAGTTTTTCTTAACCTCAGCTTTCTGCACATTAATGCCCAACGAGAAAACCAACATTTTCTGATAAAGTCATTCCTTGTAATATTGTATGACACTCGTGTATGGAACTTCCACCAGACTGCTACTTGATTCTGTCCACCATAGTTTAGTATAAATTTTATGGTGTTGTGCATGCTCCTGTGTGTGTTTATTGGCCAAAAATAACATGAATCGAGGTTGAGGTAAAAATGTCAGGCATTATAATTTAGCAGAATATTTGGCATGAAGATCTAGCCGTATGCTTAGTGGCTATCTGTAGCCAAATCCAAGTAGTCGGAAATTAATGTTTTGTTAAGTTGATATTTTACAAATCCTGTGGAGTTTGATACTTTGAAAATGGATTGCAGGTGGCATGTGTCTTGATGTTTAATCTTCAGCAAGATGATTTTCCAGTGGACACACATGTGAGTAACATTTTTCTCAGATAATTACAATTCTGAATCTGTTTTCATGTTGGCATTTACTATTCCACAATTATACAGGTTTTTCAGATAGCAAAGACCATTGGTTGGGTACCAGCAGTGGCAGACCGGAAAAAGACATACCTCCATCTCAATAAAAGGATACCAGATGATCTAAAATTCGATCTGAACTGTCTCATATTCACTCATGGAAAGGCCTGTCGAAAATGCATCAAGGAAGGAGGTAAGCAACAAAAAGAGGATTCCAGTGGTGACTCCTGTCCTTTACTAAATTATTGTGAAAACTCTAATTTGAAAAAGAAAATAATGGGATGAATTATTATTGCATAAACCCAAATTATTGCATTCTCTCGAGTCTTGACTAATTGTTTTCTTGCAACTCATAAAGGAACTAGGCTTGTAGTGAGATTACATCAAACAAATCTGAAAGTATAGGGTGATACATTGTTGCCTAGAGAATGCCAAGGGCGGAGGACGCCCAAGGGGGGTAGGGGTGGGGGGCACCCTCCAAGCCTCCAAATATTCCAATGTAGCCCTTTATACTGTACATATCGTGAATGTAAACCTTACCATATTCAAAGGTTGATCCCCCAAAAGCTGCCCAATAAATTGGGTCCAAACGGACCAAGCTTTTTTACCTTTGAAACCGAAAAAAGCTGAGGTTTTAAGTCAATTTCAAACAGGCGCAATATGGTAATTCAAGTTTAGTTTAGGTTAACTGATGTTTGTCTAGGAATTGATGGTTCTAGTAGATTACAAGATTTGGATTAATACTGTAAATTTTATTATCAATTATGCATTATTTATCTAATCCACCAACAGAAATTTGCTTTCTTTGTAACGAGGAAAAGGAGTGGAAGAAACATTGATGCAAACTTGTTTACTACAACCATCATTTCAGTATGTTATACTGATTAATTTTTTTTATTACTTTGTTTTATTAGCTTCACGCGGATTGTTGAATTAGTAGACTCTATTGTTTCTCTCTAATCACAATGTTGTCCAAATTCAAAACAAATTGTTTTTCATGCATGAAAAACTTTTTAAATACAAGAAAGAAAGAAAAAATAACCTTTTCCCTTCTATTTACCATGCAAAATCGAAATTCATCATTTGTGATCTACACACTATGCAATCTAGATCTTCTCTATTATTTTTTCACACAATTTTACTTAATAATAAATCACCCACCGTGTATGGGTGCGGAGTCTACATGTAAATAATGGGTTCCATGTGAATACATCGTGGGTGATTTACTATTGAGTGAAATTATGTGAAAAAATAACGGAGAGAATAATATCTACATCAACCCGTTTTCTATCGTATGGAGTAAAAGTCAATCAAAATTATCTCAATCCTCTCACCACCAGATGCTTAAGAAGAAATTTTAGAAGATGAACAGAAAACGATTTTCTCTGTCTTGATCATATCCATGGCCATCAAAGTAGAAATCTGCTTAGATCTTGATCGAGTTGAACGCATCGCATCGATGCCTCACCTCTCCCTTGTGTCCCGTCTTGATACCATAGACGCTAAGCTTCTCCATAGCATGAGCAAAATCACGGAAGAATGCCGCCTGGTTGCCGGCATACTTGTCGACCAACGGCTTTGTCCTCGGGTCTGAAACCAGTGCATGGTCTGAAGCCTATAGCCCCAAGCCCTTCTGCAAGTTCTGGAAGAACATGTTGTCGAATTTGCATGGTGTCATCACGTCGAGGAAGGCCGACATTGATTGATCGGTGGTGTAATTGGCCCAAACTTTTCTTAAAGCGTCGGGGAGCATGGGATTGAGAGCTGGATCAACCTCTGAGGTTTTGCTGTAGCCGAAGATTCTATTGCTGAACTCTTTGCAGTGAGCGAACCCAACAGTGTGTCCACCACCCGTTAGGGCAACCATTTCTTGAACATTGAACCCTTTGGATTTGAACAAAGTGATCATCTTGTTCATGGAAGTATTAGCCCTAGCTAGGTTTCTTTCGACGTGTGTAGCCTGAGAAACAGGCCCGGCCGAGCCGGACTTTATAGTACGGACCGCCAAGCATATTGACGAGGTTGCGAGTGGAGAGAGCCAGAATATCGGCACAAGATACAATACCGGGGCGGTCTTGGCGCGGACAAAGAAGCCGAAGCCATCGCGAGGGAGGGAGTTGTTGATGTCGGCGTCTCTCCGCCTGGTTGACAAAGTNAAGCCAGCTCGAGGGCGGTCTTGGCGCGGACAAAGAAGCCGAAGCCATCGCGAGGGAGGGAGTTGTTGATGTCGGCGTCTCTCCGCCTGGTTGACAAAGTTGGAGCTGATCAGAACGGAGGCATCACAGCCATCAACCATGCAGTCGTGGAAGAACAGGCGGAGGGTGGCAGCGGCGGTGGTGGGGTTGGTGATTTGCTTATTTGTGATGACTTCTTGCATGATCTGTTCAAATTTTGGGCATGTTTTTGCGTAGTAGTCGATGGTGAGTGCAGATTCTGAATGGGGAATGGAGGAGAGAGATGAAAGAAATAGAATGAGAAGAAATGGGAAAGCCATGGTTAGAGAGAGAGAAAGAGAGATANCATCAACCCGTTTTCTATCGTATGGAGTAAAAGTCAATCAAAATTATCTCAATCCTCTCACCACCAGATGCTTAAGAAGAAATTTTAGAAGATGAACAGAAAACGATTTTCTCTGTCTTGATCATATCCATGGCCATCAAAGTAGAAATCTGCTTAGATCTTGATCGAGTTGAACGCGTCGCATCGATGCCTCACCTCTCCCTTGTGTCCCGTCTTGATACCATAGACGCTAAGCTTCTCCATAGCATGAGCAAAATCACGGAAGAATGCCGCCTGGTCGCCGGCATACTTGTCGACCAACGGCTTTGTCCTCGGGTCTGAAACCAGTGCATGGTCTGAAGCCTATAGCCCCAAGCCCTTCTGCAAGTTCTGGAAGAACATGTTGTCGAATTTGCATGGTGTCATCACGTCGAGGAAGGCCGACATTGATTGATCGGTGGTGTAATTGGCCCAAACTTTTCTTAAAGCGTCGGGGAGCATGGGATTGAGAGCTGGATCAACCTCTGAGGTTTTGCTGTAGCCGAAGATTCTATTGCTGAACTCTTTGCAGTGAGCGAACCCAACAGTGTGTCCACCACCCGTTAGGGCAACCATTTCTTGAACATTGAACCCTTTGGATTTGAACAAAGTGATCATCTTGTTCATGGAAGTATTAGCCCTAGCTAGGTTTCTTTCGACGTGTGTAGCCTGAGAAACAGGCCCGGCCGAGCCGGACTTTATAGTACGGACCGCCAAGCATATTGACGAGGTTGCGAGTGGAGAGAGCCAGAATATCGGCACAAGATACAATACCGGGGCGGTCTTGGCGCGGACAAAGAAGCCGAAGCCATCGCGAGGGAGGGAGTTGTTGATGTCGGCGTCTCTCCGCCTGGTTGACAAAGTTGGAGCTGATCAGAACGGAGGCATCACAGCCATCAACCATGCAGTCGTGGAAGAACAGGCGGAGGGTGGCAGCGGCGGTGGTGGGGTTGGTGATTTGCTTATTTGTGATGACTTCTTGCATGATCTGTTCAAATTTTGGGCATGTTTTTGCGTAGTAGTCGATGGTGAGTGCAGATTCTGAATGGGGAATGGAGGAGAGAGATGAAAGAAATAGAATGAGAAGAAATGGGAAAGCCATGGTTAGAGAGAGAGAAAGAGAGATAGAGAGAGATCACAAAGACCTGCTTACCCTCGCAGGGAGGGTGGGGAGAGAAAGAGGAAGCAGGGAGCTATTGGTATGACTAAATTGGAGAAGGTGAAAAAACGAAAATGAAGGCGGAGAGGCTGGTGAATTGTGGTGAAGAGATTTCTTTGGCAAGGTTGCCTATATTAGTGTAGAGTGTGTGTGAGTGAGAGAGAGTACTGACTCACTAAGTATATATGGCTGCGATTGGATGAAACCCGTTTCAAGTTATGGTGGGTTAGATCATAAGAGATTGGATGAAACCCATGATGCCTGCATCTTACTTATAAGCTAATATGATCCACCATCACTATTGCAACTACCACTGCCGCCGTCATCACCAATATTCCACCTTCACAGAATGCCTCCTTGTTTCGGGACAAGCCAGTTTTCGCTCCGCTTATAATATTTCAGTGATAGATTTTATAAGAACTAGACGATCCTATAGACTACAACAAGGGATTCACAATCAAGAAATCACCCGTGCGAAGCTACACAGTATGAGCAATTAGAAAGGCCACAAATTCGATATCTATAAAGGATTGATCTGTATGCCATCATTCTACACTTCAATGAGTATGGTTAGGATTTATACAAAAAAAAAAAATTTGGGCAGGAACAAGGTATTAAGGTAAATGAGAGAAGAGAAGAAAATACAAGATGAAAAAGAAAAAGATAGAAGATGAAAAAGGAAGAAGATTAACTTGAAAAAGTAGATGCCGTCGTTCCTCATGGTAGAAGCGTTGAAGTGAGGAAGAGAAGGGAAGGGAAGAAGTATATCTTTGGCACACAGAAGGGGCTTCGGTGGAGAGAAGAAGTTACCATTGGATTTTGGTATAGAGTCTGGATCTCCTTTAATTTAGCTGTTGGTATAACTTTGAGCGAAGGTTGGAACAAGTTTATGAGTTTTTTACTCAAATTTAAATTTGAGTTTAAATTTGAGTTAGAGTTAAAGATGTTTTTAAATTAGTTGTAAGTTTTAATGTTGAATAAAATTTAGAAGCCGATCCCCCTATACAGACTTGTTTGGACTTACGTCCGCCAAATAAACTTATTTATTATGAAATCTGTTTTTTGTCAATTTTACTGGACTATTCATTCTCTTTAGAAGTAAAATAAAATTAAAAATTAAAAACTTCTAAATTTTAAGAATTTGACTAATATTAAAAAAATTTATCTCTCATATTTATCTCTCATTTGTTTGATTAAATCATTCAAAATTTATTTTTACCTATTATTTTCTTAAAGATATTGACAAAATTTCTCAAAATATGTAATTCGATAAATTTTTTAACAGATCTATATTATCGTGTATGGATAATATCTAAAATAAAAATTATGTTAAATTACAAATTAATCAAATATTAAATGGTTGAACATGCGATAGAAATGAGTGATGTGATGATTTTGGAGGGTGAAAAATGTATAGGGGATAAAATTTAACTTCTTGTGTGTTTTATTATATAAATTTGTACAGATATAAGGAAAAATTTCATTCAGATCCCCTGTAATTAGGTTTAAATTCAATGACATTTTCTTCCGATTTTGAAATTTCACTGTCACTCCCTATTAGTGATTGTCAGGTTACACCGTTAATGACGATGGTTGATTTATAGAAATATTTCCGAGTATTTTATAAGATAGATTTTATCTACACCCCTTATAAATAAACCTAATTTTAACAACACCCCCTGTAAATAAACCTAACTTTAACGACACCTCTTCTTGATTCTATTATATTAGTCTTTATTTTGATCAATTTAATGTTCAATTTTATCAAATTAATTTTTTTTATTTAATTTAAACTAAATTAGCATTTCATCTCATCAAATCAACACAAAATTGATATTAATTTTATCAAATTAGCATTTAGTTATATTAATTTAATATTAAGTTATTACTTATTTTTATCAAATTAACGTCAAATTGAAATTCAATTTTATTAAGTTTCATTAATTTAAAATTTAACCTTATTAAATTAATGTCATTTCTTTAATTTAACACCAAATGAACATTTAGTTTTATTAAAACAACATTCAAATTTATTCAATTAACATTAAACTCAATCAAATTAATACTAAATTAATATTTAATTTATCAAATTAAAACTAAACTAATATTTAAATTTATCAAAATTAAAATCAAATTTATTCAATTAATATTAAATTTTATCAAATAATTTTAAATCTATAATATAAAAAAGGGCGACTTTAACAAGTCGATCCTATGATTTCAAATTCATTCATTGAACAGTTAAAAAATTACAATTGTTTTCCTTAATATTTTTTCCCCTAATAAGTCAACGATTATGGCTGATTTTGGAACATATCTTACGGTCTCAAATTAATTCATCCAACGGTCAAAAAATTAACATTTTTTTCCTTAATATTTTCGCTCATAATCAGTCAACGATTACTACTGATCTTAGAATACAAGATTTTCTCTGACATAATAATTAAATGGGTCAAATTAGTCATTAATATCTTCTGTGTAGTGTAATATTTTCAATTTGTATAAGATACAATGATAACATTTTGATTAAAAGAAGCTCATCAATTTAAGATAAAATAAAAATAAGGGCGTTGATTAACACATTTATATTTTGATTAACACATTTATATTGAATGTAATTAATTTTAATTTTATTTATTTAATTAATTGTTGATTAACACATTTACATTGAATGTAATTAATTTTAATTTTATTTATTTAATTATCTCAAACTAACATGTCTTATACATATCTTGAATCAAAAATTCAAGACTAATTTCTTTTTATATATTAAGGAAACCCAACATTAATATATTCTTTTAAATTAATAATTTTGTAATAGCTTGTACTAATTAAAAATAATAATATTTTATAAATGATATTTGTAGATCTTTTTTAATAGAAAATATTTTGGCGATATGTTTTTTGATAAATTAAATTTTTAGTTTGTATTAAATTTAACTCGATTTTGATTACTTATATATAAATTAACATTTGTTTTAAGCTAATTTTATCATATATTGTGGATTTATCTATAATATCCATAATATAAAATAGGGCCGCTTCAACAGGCCTATCATACGGTCTAAAATTCATTCATCTAACAGCTACTAAAATCTCTCTCAAAATCATTCATATTGAATTTTATCCTCCTTTTCTCACTCTTTACTTTCTCTATCTAGTAGTGGCAGAGGAGGAGGGGTCCGGAGCCACCCTGAAAAAATATATATATTTTTAGTTATATAAGTTTTATATATTTTTTTGGATTAATTGGGCCCACTGCAATGATTTACAAAAAATAAAATTAATTAGGTCAAATAAGNCGTAGTAGTGGCAGAGGATGAGGGGTCCGGGGCCACCCTGAAAAAATATATATATATTTTTTAGTTATATAAGTTTTATATATTTTTTTGGATTAATTGGGCCCACTGCAATGATTTACAAAAAATAAAATTAATTAGGTCAAATAAGTTGGGTACTAGAATAGAAAAACAAAATCAAAAAGTTCATACTAATTTCTTAAAATTAGCAAACTAAAATTAATTATTTAGAGTATTGCTATGATTTGTTGAAATCTCATTTGGTTCAAAAAATATGAAATACATAACCAAATGAGTAAAATATTAAATTTGTAATTAAAAAAAATTATAGAATATTACTTTTATTTATGTCAAATCTATATCTATAATAAAAAACAGGGTGACTTCTATAAGTCCATCATACAGTCTCAAATTCATTTATCAAACGGTTAAGAAATTCCTATTTTTTTCTTAATATTTTTCCTCCCAACCGATCAACGATTATGGTTAATCTTGAAACACATCTTACGATCTCAAATTTATTCATTGAACAGTCAATAAATTAACATTTTTTCATCGATATTTTCCCTCCCAATCAGTCAAAGACTACGACTGGCTCAAATTACAAGATTTTCGCTAACATAATAATTAAATGGTTCAAGTTTGCCATTAATATCAACTGTATAATATAACATTTTAAATTTGTATAAGAGACAATGACAATATTTTAATTAAAAAAAATTCATCAATTTAACAAATTAAAAAAAATAAGAGCATTGCTTAATACATTTATATTGAATATAATTAATTTTAATTTTATTTATTTAATAACTATCTCAAACTAACATGCCTTACACATTTCTTGAATCAAAAGTTCAAGACTATTTTTTTTTATCCCTTAAGAAAACTCAACGCTAATATATTCTTATAAATTTATAATTTTGTAATAACTTGTACTAATAAAAAAAATATTTTATAAATAATATTTGTAGATCTTTTTTTGATAGAAAATATTTTGGCGATATGCTTTTTTATAAATTAGATTTTTAGTTTATATTAAATTTGACTCAATTTTGATTATATATATATAAATTAATATTCGATTTTGATTACATGTATATAAATTAATATTGTTTTTAAGTCATTCTATTATATTTTGTAAATTTTATAATTTAAAACAGAGAGGGTTCAACAAGTTCATCCGATAGTTTCAAATAAACTCATCTAACAATCACTAATATCTCTCTCAATATCATTTATATTGAATTTTACATTCGTCTTCTCATTCTTCACTCTCTTTCTTTAGTAGTGGTGGAGGGAGGAGGGGCTCGGGCCACCCTAAAAAAAAAAAAAATTTAATTATATATTTTTTTAGATTAGTTGGGTCCACTGTAATGATATATGAAAAACAAAATTCATTGAATCAAACAAGTTGGGTACTAGAACAAAAAAACAAAAACAAAAGGTTCATACAAAATCTCTTAAAATTAGGAAACTAAAATTGATTCTTTAAAGTATTGGTATGATTTGTTGAAGTCTCATTTGATTCAAAAATTATAGAATATATTGTCAAAAATGAGTAAAATATAAAATTTATAAAGAGATTAAAAATTTTAGAATATTGCTTTTATTTGTATCAAATAAATTATATTATTGATCTTTAAT